TATTGAAGAACAGAGGAAGAGAAGGTTTGTTGGGCAGACGAAATTCCAGCCCGGAGAAGAGCAGAGGAGAACATGGGATAACAAGCAGACTCCAAGGTCAGAGTAGTGGGGGGTAGAGGAGGGGCCCAGGGGTGCCCCTCTCCCCTCTAGCAGGGTCAAGACTGAGGGATGAGGCCCCTGCCGCCTGTGGAAGATCATTGGACTGCAGAGACCCCCTGCTACTCGTGGAAGAGCACCACGCTGGAACTGGGGAAGGACAGAGCAAAGTCCTGCAGGAGACCTGCGGCACATGGAGAGGAAAACCCACGCTGAAACAAGTTTTCCCGGGTAGGACTTGTCTGGAATGACCCGTGGGCAGCAGGCTGAAGAGAACTGTTTCCCGAGGGGTGGATGGACCCACGGGGAGAGGTCCATCACAGACTGTCTTCTGTGGGGAGGGACCCCACAGGAGCAGGGGAAGGACTCAGAGCCACGACCCCTGGAGCTGAGCTGAAGACTGTGGTGATGCAGGTTGTCCCCCTGCAGCCCATAGAAGACCATTGGGGTGCAGAGACCCTCCTGTGCACCCGATGGAGGAGTAACCCACAGGACAAACAGATTGGCAAGAACTGCTGTCCGAGGAGTGGACTCAAACTGATTGCAAACCCTCTTCCCCGCCCCCCTGCACTGCTGGTGGGGAGGGAGAACTTGGAAGAAAGCAGGGGTGGCGGGGGGGGAAGGTATTTCTTTAAGACTGTTCTATTTCTCACTCTCTTAGTTTTATCTTGTTTGTAATAAATTTAAGTTTTATTCCCTGCGTTGAGTCTGCTTTGCCCTTATCTATCCTCATTAATTCCTTACTGCTTTTTTTTTCTCTCTCCTCTGCTACTTTGCAGAGGAAGGGTGAGAAAGCAGCTTGGTGGATATCCTGGCATCTAGCCAGGGTCAAACTGCCACATAATATTATTCAAACATTCAAATATCATAAGAAATATCAAACCTCCAAATATGCGGGGTTTCCTCCGCACATCCCACGTACCACCACTGTCTGTGCTGACCCTGTAACACACTCTTTGACCAAAATGGAAGAAATAAAGGCAGGGAGGACACATTTAGAAAGAGATTCAAGTACTTTGGAATTTCAAAAAAAACCAGCATCACACAGGTGTATTGGAAAGACAAACACATAGGCCATATCTTTAGATACTCAATGAAGTGTGAATGTATGCCGATGTTATCATAGCTTGCCTTTTATCCACACCTTTTGTGTTTAATCTGAGGAAAAGAAATAGCATAAAATGTTGATTGCTACATATAGGACTGAATTTCTGAAACATATAAAATTGTAATAATTTCATACAAGGTGAAAGAGAAAAATATGTTTAATCTCCCTGTGATTTTCTTAAGTAGATCACATAAAAACCAAAGCCTTCAAACTCCTCCTCTATAATAATATGATTGATTAATAACTGATCATAGGGAAAAAAATTGGACCTGGAACTCTTGCAGCAACAGAGTTCCTCTTTACCTCTTGCTGGCATGCTTGCAGCATGCTGTTGTCTCCTGATTTCAACCTCCCTAGATCTTCCACTCTAAAGAAATGAGGATGTTTTTCTCCACCCCAATTAAACTGAAGACCAAGTGTTTACACCACCCTGGTTTGTTTTTTTTTTCAACCATTCTCCACGAAAACTGAGATAGTGTTATGTAAAGACTAACCACAACATTTTCATACAGAAACACACAGTATGTAAAACCAAAGAAAGACAAAGAGACTGCAAATACAGAGCTCTGTGTCCCAGGCCATACTCACATCAGCATAGTGGCCCTTCATGTCACAGCGGTTGCAGTGTTTGTTCCAGTAGGCTCTCTCCAGGCACTCCCTGAAATAGTGCCCAGGCAAACAGCAGTTCAGACAGAAACGGGCTGGGCAGCTATGCTGCAGATGGTCTCTTCCCGCACACAGGCAACAAGGGGGAACTTTCTGTGGAGAAACAAAAAAGGAATTATGCAACAACGTTTTAAAAGACTGAAGAAAAAAGAATCAAAAGAAGAAATTAAGAAAAAACCACCTCAAGGAAGTGCCTACGGCTTACTAGGACTTGCAGAGATGTTGTGTTTCATCAAGGAATCAAGAGGAAGAACAGTATGTACAGAGTAAAGGTCAAAGCTGTGATTCCACAGACTCCCTGGACCTTCTTGATTTGGACTTTGTCTCTGCAGCACTTGTTGAATGACCAGTGTCAGTCATCTGTGCTCAGTGAACACAGAGATGATGACTGTGGTGTCTGGGGACATGTGTTAGTGGTGGGCTTGGCAGTGCTGGGGGAATGCTGGAACTCCATGACCTTAGAGGGTTTTGTATCACTGGGTTTTTTTCTTCACTTACTACACTGTCTTTACCTCGATCCACGAGATTTTCTTGCTGTTGTTGAGTGCCTGGGTGGGCACTTGAAGCAAGCTGGCCTCAGCCCAGCACAGCCTTGTGACTTTCACAATTCAGCATTTGGAATGACAAACACATTTCACAGAAAATTATTCTGAGGCCAAGTCCATATCTCTGTAAATCCAATTCTCCCAGTGAGTGAGTGTATTTCCCACCAAGAGTTGATGGGATGCAGTGCCATGTCCCCTCATGGATACCAGCCCTGGGGACTGAGGGTCCTACAGATTCTGTTGGGGGGTTGGTAAATTCAGGGTCTCACGTGACAGCACCCCACTTCTTCACAGTGCAGAGACTGACTTTTACTGCTAACCCTGGGATAAACCTTCTGAATACCTGGCACCTATTTGAGTTGCTTAAAGTTAGCTCCAGTTTTGTCTTGTCTGTGATTTTTTAACATTATTCATATCATGGTTCATTATACAGATATCTGCTTCCATTTATTTACTAAGGCTGTTTTTTTGATTCCTTAGGTTCTCCTTGTTGAAAATACAATTGAAAAATATTTTACATCTTCAAGCTGTTTTTACAATAGGAAAATAAGATGTTTCTGTATTGCACTTCACTCCTTTTTTCCTCAGTGTATAGCCAAAGAGTCTAGCGGAAGGAGTCCCTGCCCATGTCAGGGGAGTGGAATGAGATAAGCTTTAAGGCCTCTTCCAACCCAAACCATTCTCTACTATATGATTCTGCATATTTTTTCTTCTATAAAAACAATAAAATCAATGACCTCCCCAGACAGAGGGATAATTTTATACAGTAAATTGACCTTGTGCAAGGTATTCTGCAACTCAGAGCAACCCTTCCAAGAAAGGATAAACCACTGAAGAAAAGCTTCTAGTTGCAAGCACAGGGGAGTATCGGGAAAACCAGCTGCATCTACGAGTGATTTAAGTGTTTCACTTACCTTTGGAGTGGGACAGTTCCTGGACAAATGTCCTGGTCTGTTGCAGTTCCTGCTGGTGGCGGTTTTGTCAGCTGTGTAGTACCTCATGCTGCTGTGTCTCACGCTGGCATAGTTGGATATCTGTGCCTGGTAAGACACGGGGAGAGAAACACATTTACCACTTGAGATTTTGTGCCTTGGTGCTTGCTAGAATTGGGAATTGTGAAGGTCACTGCTGGTAGTGATCAGTCAGATACCTAATGTTTCACAAGCACAGTTTACACATACAGGTTTGGAATGGATAATTCCATTACAGAGAAAGCTGCATTGTCTGGAAGAAGTTCTTGTCCAAACTTCCACTTCAGGATACTCTTTTTTGCTGTTTAAGACAGCAGTTATGAAGTTTTGCTTTCCCTCAGCTAGCCAAGACACTTTTACTTACCGTGCTATGTCATGACAAACTGGAATTTTCTTCAGAATACAAACATAACTAACATTAATTGCAAATGCAAGCTACACATTCCCTTGCACACATTAAGGGAAACTACTTGGACAAAATACAATGCTATACAAGTCTGTACCAAATCTGCAATTTTCAATTGTAAAGAAAGATTTATAAAGCAAAAAAAAAAGAAGAAAAAAAAAGAGAAGCTGGAAACAACTGTCTTTCTCTCAGTGACCTCACACATACTTTCTGTGCAGATAGACAGAATTGAAAATCCTATCTACAACCTTCATTGCCTAGTAAACATGACAAGTTTTAAAGAAATAAATGAAAATTTTGGATGAGTGAATGGGAGAGGTATAAAAATACCATTTCTTTTCACAGAAAGATTTTGTTAATGTTACTTGATTTCATCAGCTTTACTGGGCCTTGTTAAAAAAAAAAGGGAAGGAGTTGAAGTCGGCAGCTGAAGCTCACTCCTCCTGGATGCTCCAGCACCTTGAACTCCAGGCTGCAGCCTCTCCACACCCACCCCTGCACTGAGCACGACCCTGGGAAAGCACCACACACCAGTGGCTCCCACTGTCCCCTGACAATGGGACCAGGCTGCCATGAAACATCCCTGGGCCTCTGAAGAGACTGGAAAGGAAGAGGTTGTGTCCTCCTTGCAAAATCCACAGAGGCACTCCAGCTCCCCCCATCCTTGTCCCTTCCTGTCTCTGTGCTGGCTGCAACTTGGGAACTCCTTCCTCCTGTGGGAGGACACTGCTTATGGTCCCACACAAACACCACGGAAGGGCTTTTGAATCCCATTTATCTTGCTTTGCTTGTTAATGAACATTAATATAAAGAATTACAGAAGAATTTAATTGTCTGTGTTACCTCTAAGTCTTTATGAGAGATGGACCAGTCCACATCAGCCTCTCCTGAAAAACAGAAATAAAATTAATTACATTTAATTTACATGACTATTTTTCTATAATATATTCAAAATTATGATTATTGCACTTACTGAAATTGCTAACAGATTTTGATGTACTAAAGAGGAGAAACCATTTCCGTTTTTGGTAAAGGAAAGCTATCAACCCACTGGTCACTAAATCTGCCTCACCTGAAAATCAGCACATGCCCAGCTACTGAGAGGAGCTTATCTGACACCACCCCGCTGTCCTACCCCCTGGGGTACAAATTCAGGTGGGGATTTAACTCCTCCAGAGGTGGGGTCTCCAAAAGTTCCGATTCCAGCCACTGGAGTTACCCCTGCCTGTGCTTGTGGGAATGCCCGGCTCAAGTCCAGAGGTTGCAATGGGGGGAGCACATGGAACAACAAGTTAATGCACAGAATGCACCTTTTCCTCCTTGCAAATTCTCCCAGTCTGTGTCTCCAGGCCTGCATCCCGACTGCTGCACGTCAACACGACTGAGCATAACCTCAGCCACCCAGACTGTGAGCTGAGCAACTCTGTGTCCAAGCAGGGTTCAGTAATATGCAATAAATCAGAAGGACACACTGAATTATCCACTGTCACGCCATAACCTTCTCACATGCAGCCTTTGGGCTGCCAGGAGTGGGAAGAAACAAACCAAGGAGGAAATGAAAGGGCAGTAAGCTAAAGGAATAGGGATGCAGCTATAGCTGTTTAAAAATTCTGCATGTTGACACTGCTGACGGCTCTGGCTGCGCACACACAGCTGTGCTGCCACAGCACCTTCCACCTCTACGGTGGAAAAACAGAGCATTCGTGCCAGGGCAGGTGCTCACCTTACCCATACTTTTAAAGAAAACATTACAACCCATGCACAAATTAATCCTGGGTGTTTGTGGACTTTTTAGCACAAACTGTCCCATCCTGATCCCACAATCCGAATCTGAAGCATCCACATGTGTTACTAACACAAATCACAATAACGTCGTGAGTTACAGACAGCAAAAAATTATCAAATTTTGATTTTAATATTCATTTCCATTAGAATATGGATGATCATGAATTAAATTTATATAATCTATAATGTCATGTCTAGCCATGTACTAAAAAAGTCAGTAATTTTGGCTGAAGCTTGTGACACAGTATCTGGATACAAAATATGTTACTCAGGTCCTTTAGAGCACAACACCTGCTTACTGCTGCTCTTCATCCAACAATCAGAGCTCACACCACTTGCTCCCACCCGAATAAAACCCTGAAGTATTTTTATTTCCAGCACTCACTAATGCCAATGCCCAGCTCCAAGGCATTGATAACACATTAACTGGCCTGTTCATAAAGTGATTTGAACCATGTGTGAACCTGAGTCGTGTAAACACAGTGACTGCCACTGCCAGGACTCCAGCACCCACCAGATCCATCACCCCAGCATCATTCAGGATGAGGAATCACCCCCAGAGTGTGAGGTGGAACCCTCTGGGGCCCTGGGGAATGCTACCCTTATCCCCACGAGGAGGGCAGATGGGGCAGATTTGGGTCTGTGCCCTTTGGCAGGAGCAAGGCATAGATATACCTGAGAGGAAATCAAACCTTTTGGGGCCAGATTATGAAAAGTAAAGAACGGACATATTTGAGTCATAAAAACACTGACATATTAGAGTGCTTTATTTATTGTTCAGAAGCCTGTTAAGGAAATTCATTCATAAAGAGAAAGGTATTTGTAATTCAAAGCTCTGCCCTGGCAATCAGCACTGAGAGTACCATGTTGCACAGAAGCACACATGCGGAATGGCTGACAGTTCACAGATCAAAATTACCAGCGAATTAACTCCTGTTAATCACTAGGCATGTCCTTCCTGAGGGCAAACCAACCAAGTTTCTCTTCTTCACTGTCAAAATCCCCAGCTTCTCAGGGGAAAACCACGATACAATGATTCAAGTACTCCTAACACTAAAACCTAAAAATGCTCAACTCAGAAAATACGTACAAAAGCTTTAAAACTGAATGAAATATTACATTAAAATCTTCCTTTACTGAATCTGTTTGGTGATCTAAATGTTAATTTTAACTCACAACAGATTGCATAAGGCTTTGTTTTCACCCATAATAAATTCTTGAGACTGAAACACGCAGGGAAAATTCTGCTTCTGCAATGAAATCTTGCTGTAGAGACACATAGAAAAAATTTCAATGCTATTTCTTGCTGACCACAGTGTTTTGTCTGGCACTAGATCATGAAATAAATCACAAAACTCTGATCAAGTTGACAGATACCTCCTCTTCCTCTGATTTTATTTTCTTATTTGGATGAATTAATGCGTCCCACAGCACTCCCAGTGTCCCTGGGCTGGCTCCTGGCCACTCCACCTCCACTGGCACTGCTGTTCCCTTGGCTCAACCACCAGCACCAGCACTCCTGGTGTGTTGGGGACCACGCTGTGCCACACTCCCCCTGGCCTGTATCACCCATCATCTTTATTTTAGTGCTCAACTCTCAGCCCCATGTGGGCTGTGTCTGGGATTGTGGGTGTGGAGGAGCTCTTCCCAAGGATGCAGGGGTGGCTTGGCCCTGGGACTGCTCCCAAAATTATCACAGAATGGGTAAGGGTGGCAGGGACCACGGGAAGGGTCACTGGCCCCCCAGTGTGCCCAAGAATGATGCTTTCCCACCCCACAGGCCCTGATCTGGGGCAGAAAGGGTAGCTCTGGCCAGAGCACAGGCACTGAACAACGGCACCAACTGCTGAGAGCTCTGTCCTCACACAGCCTGGACGCCGCCTTCTGTCACCTGATGTCCTCCAAGGCCACACCAGTACCATGTTAGAGCATTTCACTCTTTTTTTTAAGGTGGATATGAGCACAGAGGGTGGATATCTGCCAGAAGGAATGACTAGGAGTGCTTTTACTTTTACTTTACTTTTATTTTTACTCCTCAGAAAGAAGCAGCTCAAAAACTATTTAGACTATCTCTGTCAAGACTTTCCCCTTTTTCTGTGGAAAAGTTGCACATACAAAACTTACTTGAAGAGTCCAGTGAGTTCAATAAAACCCAGAACATCTTTGACAGATATGTGCTTTTAATCTTCCTCATCTTCCTTTTTTAAAAGCTACCTCCTTTTAAAGATTATATTAATTTTTATACTAAGTTTAATACTGATTAATTCCTATACAAAGATTTTATTAATTTGCATACTTAAAAATACAACATATAAACTTCTTCTATTTATACTTTTAAAAAATGGTTTTATCAAACTGCAGATCAGGGAAGAAGAGAAGAGGATGCAAAATATATGAAAATGGAAGCCCTGCACAAGGTTTTCCCTGTATCACGCATCACGCTTTGGCTGTCCTGTGCCCCTACATAATGGGATGAATGGTGAGCAACAGCTTTGCTTTCATTTAAAGAAAAATTTTGAAAGATCATTGAGATTCACATGTATCCCTCCACCAGCATGAAAATGTAAATTTCTGAGCAGCATGCAGGGAGAAGCCAGATTTAGGACCACTGTTCAATGCTCATTCAAACCTCCCCTCCTTTATCCCAGACAGGGAGAGGAGGGGAGCAGAGAGGAGGACCAGCAGTCAAAACCTGAAATTGCCTAAAGGAACAATCTGCTTCCACAGGAACAAAACACCAACTCAGAATAAACAATAAACTGCTAACAAGATTTCCTTATCTGCAGTGCAGCTCCACCAGGGACTCGGGTGGCCAGGCAGGCTGCCCTAGCCAGGCAGGTTATCGCTGGGCTGCGACCCCCCCCCAAAATCACACTAGTATTTCACTCATGGAGGTTGGGAGAAAACATGTCCCTGTGCCAAGCTCTGCCTGCCCTGCAAGGGTTTGTGTCATCATCTTCAACAGCAGAGAGAAGCTGCAGAGCACAGTCACCCAACTTTGAAAATAAAACACTAAATTTGCTACAAGGCAATTGGTCGTGTCCCCCCTTCCTTCTAATTGGAAAATATATGCAGACATGTATTTTATGTATTTTACTTTATGATCAGCCTAGTGAAATAGGACACTTTGAGCTGTGGCAGCACGATACGTGGCCTGAAGGGCAAATACATTTCAAAGCTGGGCTTTAAAAATTGGATTTTGACTGCTAATTAATATAACACATTACAGAATAGAGAACCCTAATTACATTCTAGTGCAAGACCTCCGTGGCAAGGACTGTTTCAGACCTATCTCCGAACATGTCAGGACACAGCTTCAGCTCCTACCAGAGTAACATTTTAAAATTATAAGCCTTAACCCCCCTAAAAATCATCTAGAGTTGTAAGAATTTCACACTGCGACATCTTACATATATCTGAAAATTCCTGCTTTTATGTAAACTGAAGTGGTTCCAGTCTTATTGTAATATAGCTTCCTACAGTGAGTTCCACATTTTCTGTGCCCAAGCACCCCTTCTTCCAAAAACCAAAGAATGACGGCACGCAGGGGCAACAGCCAAACACTGTCCCAAAACAGGAGGCTCCCTGCATTGGGTTTTGTAAGGCACAGGAATTTGGGTTTCTATGGACCAGATGCACTGTACATCTTGCCCTTCTAGGAACCGGTATTCCAAGAACCCGCAGATAAATGTGTGTGTGTGTGTGGATGTGTCTGTGAGTCTCTCTATATTCCTGTGTGCATATGTGCACACATATGTGCACCGTGCACATCCCCCACACGCCACCAGATGCTTTGGCCTGTCCCCCAGTTACGGCAGACCAGCCGTGATGGACAAGGAGCTGGCCCTCCTTGTGCTGCATGAAGTTCCCACTCCAGCAGCTTCAGGTGCATCTCAGCAGGGCCCTCTCCCGCCAGGTACTCGGCTGGGAGTGCTCAGAGGCCACAGCCCCCTCTGCACTCCACAACAACCCCTCAGAGGGGAACGGCATCGACCTCGGTATGTTTTCCTTAGACACTTCCAGGGGTTTCTCAAGTTTGCTTTGATGAGAAAAAGGTGATTCCCTTAAAAACAATACACCTGCTGTTTAATGGAATATCTGC